TGAGGAAGATTTACTTTATACAGTAGTACAAGAGAATGTTGGAAAGGCTGCCAAAATTGAAATATATTCAGTGCTGTTTTACACACTGAGTGTATATTCATATGGGGTTTACTTTTTTTTTAAAAGAGAAAAGGTTTAGAATGTCAGATTCCTGACATTTGAACAGAAGATCTCTAAATAACCCAGGGTTTTGAATTTATTTTTCCACTTTCCTCCAATCCCCCCTGAAAAACAGCTATCCTCTACTTCTACCTTCTGTCACTATTTAAACTCTATGTAGTGGTAGGTGTAGCAGTATGAGTGGTTTGTGGAGTTTTCTCTAAAGCCTGCCTTCTAAGCAAACAAAGGACTAGAAATGTGTCATTTCTTTCTATAAAAAGGAAGTGTGTTTTGTTTTTGTTTCTGTTTTTTTGTGGATTTTTATGTTCTTTTTTTTTTTGGTGGTTGTTTTTTGTTGGGTTTGTTTTGTTTTTTTTTCTGTTTTTTTTTTTAAGCAGCTCTGAAGAAAAAGTCCTGCTCTTACAGAGAGCTGTCAGTGAGCAGACAAATGCATGCATATGGAACCCTGCTGCTGGCTCTACATGAATTTCAGAATTAAGGTTTTAGTCCCATACGGTCTAATAGTAACCTAAATAGTCAGTTTATGGACCATTTCTTATTTTCAGTAGGACTGAAGGCTGTTTAACAGAACAAACATGACTACTTTCATTCAGTTACAGGCTACCTGATTTCAAGATTGTACTGCTTGATATCATGGAAATGCTGAGTATATGTGACTCCATTCTGTGTCTGACAGTCCGTCTTTGTGCTTATGTATGTTTGTGTTTATGCAAGCTGTTTACAGCTTTAAAAATCACTTCCTCATCAGAACTAACGTTCTGCATGACTGAACCTGAGTGGAAGCACCTTAATTGCAACAACTGCCTGCAGGAGATGTAATCTGTGAAGCATGGATGGTATGCCTGGTAAATTCAAGGACTTCATGGCAAATCCACCTTCTGAAGTGTTGAGGAAAAGTTTTGGATCTTGGATGGAATTTGTGAATGGGGAAAGAACAGCAAGGATCTGGTAAACACCTGTTCATTTACTATTCTCAGGGGTAGCTGAACTTTTCTTTTATCTTACCTCCTTTCAAGGCAAGAAAAGGGAAAAATCAATCTGTTCTGACTCTAGATCCCCACCCATGAGAACGATTACTTGTCTCTTGGCCCATCCCAGCTACCGCTTCAGAGGTGGGGGTACTCAGCATTATGTTTTCTGTTTGGCTTTTCTTCAATACATTTCTGTAAAAATAAAAGTATCAGGTTGACGTGAATGGATGTAGAGTGTTAGTAGAAATGCCAGGAAGTTTTCCTGTCATAAAGCTTTGATTAAAAGCTAATGTGTCTGTGGACATGCAATAGAGGCCCGCCTAATGTTCATGCTGCTGGGTCCTCTCCACAACAGCTGTATGCCAAAAGTCACCAAAGCAACTACAAGAGAGCAAACCTCACCATCTACTTCATCTGGTGTTTGTTAGAAGAAGCAGAATAATAGGAAAAAATAAAGGAAGGAGCTGGGGGCATGTTAATTCAGCAGCCCACAACGCTGAGACTTGTGATACCAGAACTTGCTAAGCCTGCAAGACTTGTCAAGATCTTCCCTGCTCTTATAACTCGTTTTGACATCCTGACATCTTCTATGATAACTAAGCTCTTTCCTGCCTTTCACAAGATTTACAGGCTTCTGAAGTACCTCAGAGTACTTAATCTCTACCTATCCCCTTCTGAACTTCAGGTACTGATACTTCCCCGTGGTGTATTTAGGAGGCTACATTGCTTCTTTTTTGGATGCTGAATTGGTGTTCAGCATCTTAACAGTTTTTGCACTGATGTGTGAAAAGACTGAAGTGTCAAAATTAAGATACATGTAGTTTTGTTTATATTTATTTTTTCTTCTCATGCCATCAGCCCCTAATGATTTTTGTCCTGTCATGAGGTGGGTCTGTGTATCATTTTGCAGCAAGCCCTAACTGCTTTTTGCAGGGAAAATCTATATGTAGTCTAAAAAATGTATGGTAATTGCTTAAATACAAAAAAATACCTACTTCGTTTAGGGTTTCATTCTGGTCTCTAAACTGCTTCAGACAAGATGGAAGGCGGTGATGTGTTTAACACAAATTGACACAAGGGAGGTTGTACGATGCCTGAGAGCCCTGTTTTCCCAATGCTGGCAGTGTAACTCGGGCAAAATGAATATCCCCAAAGAGTGGTGCCGCCCTAGTGTGATACTGATCAGAGGCTGCCATTGCTTTGAACCTCGTTTAGGAAAAGGCACATCTCTCACTCTCAGCTATATCAGTCCAATCAAGAGCATAAAACTCAGACCACAGGTTTGCTGGAATCTGTTGTTGTTAGAAGAGTTTTCCAGGGTGCTGTAGGGCCGGGGCTCCCCATGGCAGATCCCCATGACCCTGCCTCTCGGTGTGGGGCAGCACCTTTCTGGGGGTGCGGACAGGCCAAGCTGGTCTGGGATCTGGGCCCAGCTTGTCAGGGCCAATGGCCAGGCTTTGATACCACTGGTGCAGCGGCTGACAGCACCAGGAGGCTGAAGTGGGGCCATCAGGGAGCTTGGAGGGGCTGGTTAGATTTATAGAACAGTTAGGGTTGGAAAGGACCTTAAAATCATCCAGTTCCAGCCCCCCTGCCATGGGCAGGGACACCTCACACTAAACCATGTCACCCAAGGCTCTGTCCAACCTGGCCTTGAACACTGCCAGGGATGGAGCATTCACAACTTCTTTGGGTAACCTATGCCAGTTCCTCGCCACTCTCACAGTAAAGAACTTCCTTATATCTATCCTGAATTTTAAGTTTGAACCCATTACCCCTTGTCCTGTCACTACAGTCCCTAACGAAGAGTCCCTCCCCAGCATCCTTATAGACCCCCTTCAGGTACTGGAAGGCTGCTATGAGGTCTCCATGCAGCTTCTCTTCGGGCTGAACAACCCCAGCTTTTTCAGCCTCTCATTGTACAAGAGATGCTTGAGACCCCTTGAGCACTCCTTGGTTGGACCTGTCAAGGCCTAGTAGTGCCCTTAGGGCCCCGCCAGCAGCCATGAGAGTAGACTGCAGAGAACTCCCCAGAAGCTGTTTGTTTGGATCTGCTCCCGAATCCTTCCTGCCCCAGTGTTGGACCAGTCACGCCATGAAACTGCAGCCAAAGAGGTCTGCTGTGCCAGCAGCCAGAAGCTGGTTTCTGGGCTGAGGAACTTGCCCTTTGTCAGGGCTGGTGTTGCAGGGCTCTGCACCCTCGCAAACATCCTCTTCCTTAGGACCAGCCCCGACATGTGGATGTAGGGGTCGATATAGCACTGCCATTACGTGGTGCAGCACCAGTCCAGCCTGTCTGTGTAAAACCTCTGTATGAACTTTGGTCTCTGAGCTGTGTGTGGTATAATCTTGTAAATGGTTCGATTTGTTTTTTCCTCTGAAGACTTGGTTTTCTTGTAGGATTTTTTGTTTGTTTTTAAGGTTGGGTGAAGCCAAACTTATCTAAAATCAGTCACATGTTGAGCTGGGCTCTGAGAGTGCTCCCTCTTGTCCATGGCCACAGCCTTTCTTTGATGAAGGTTACTCCCCTTCATCAAAGGTGTAAGTACCCATTGCTGACTTGTTCAGTTAGTACCATGGGTCAGATTAATAACTCAGCATGTAGAGATAACACAAGTTTATACAATAAAAAGTAAAGACATTGTTAATGAAATCAATTGTCTTACAGTACCATCTTTACAACAACATAAAAGTTAAATCAGAATGTGACTGTTATGTAGACATATGTTACCTGGCAGTCTGGGAGTACCTATTTCACAGACACAGATGACCTGAGAGATTTGCCCTCTGACACGGAAGAGATGCCAGAAATGGAGATTTAAAATAGAAATACAAGCTCTGACTTGAATAGAACGAAGTAAAGGAAGGAAGTGAGGCAAGCACATAACTGAAAGTGAACTTCAGTTGAGAGCAAGACCGAGGCTGCAGCATAGTCTTTTATTTGTGGTTGAGCAAACCTCCCTCCTGCTCTCCCACAGTGCAAAGTACTGTTTCTGATAGTGAGTTCTCTAGTGTGCACAGTAAAGCTAAGTAGAGCTTGAGAAAAAGGCGTTAAAAGCTTTACTGAATGGAGTCTGAAGCTTTGTTAATGAGTATTCTAGGCTCATAAAACTTTATAAAACAAAACCCAGGTATATTATTAGATAAAATGTACCAAATCCTTCCTTATCCTGTAAAGGTTAACTTTTGCAAAGAATGGGATATGATTAAGTTTTAGGACTTTTTTAGAAAAGAAATAGCATAAACAAACCAATACTTATCGTTAAGACTGTTCAAAGGAAGCAGCGTATTGGTGATACAAATTTGACGGTGGGGAAAAACCTCCACCTAAAGTGAAGAGCCATGTTTAACATATAAATGTTTGCAAATCTCTTTTTGGTACAATGGCAACTTAGGGTTTGATTATTCTGAGCTCAAAACAATATAGGAATTGCACCCAGCTGGGTGTACAAGGTTTTCTGAAAGAGATTTTTTTTTCCTACCTTCAACTAAGTTTTGCTCCGAAACAGAAGCAGGAAGGCTCTTTAGCAAGCTTTGTTCTTCAGAAGTTGTAGAAGGTGAAGACTGCAATGGTAGCTTTCATTTAAGGCTCTTTCTCCCTGCATTGGAAAGCACAGGAAGGGGGTGGCAGTCCTTCTCAAGTGAGCATTACTCCACAACGCTAGTGGAGCAAGTGATCCTATAGAAACTGAATATAGGATAAAATAGTAGTGCTAACTCTCATCCTCAAGAAAAGGTAAAGCTTCACAAATAAAAGTGCATTTGAAATACGTTTTAAGTCCTAGAAAAATCTTAATTTCTATGTTGGTACGCAGAGAACTAATTTAAGGGTAACCAGTATCAGGCTTCATCTGGGGGGAGCTGTAGATCTCCCAAGTACTCCCAAGTACTTCAATATTTCATAAACCTTTTAAATTTAAGATTAAAATTTTGAAGACATTCTCTGTAAACTGTATGGGCTTTTGCAATTGGAGGTTGGTTTGAAATGCAGCTGTGCGCTGAATTATTAGGCAATGTAAGTACAGATGGCATTTGAGTGGCAATGTAAGTTGTTTAAGCATACCCTGTTCTTGATCAGTTTACCTGCCTGGGGTAGTACTTACAGAAAAAGACACCTAGTTCTGTAATCCAGTTCTTGACTGCAGTTTTCTCAACTGCTACAGCTGTAGCTGCTTGCTTTATAGTGCAGTGTTCCTCTCACAGAGTACTGAAGCGGAAAAAAGGTGCTTAAGGAGAAAGAGGGTTAACAAACAAAAATTATGTAGCTCCTGTGAAATAAAGGTGAAAATAAGACTGGCAGGTTATAAATCTTGTTGTAACTCAGCCTGACATATTTTCACACAAAAGCAATTGCTGAATCATAAAAACCGTGTGTGTTTGAACAATAGTAAGACAACACTGTTGTGCTCTTAGATACTTGCATTTGCAGTGACAGCACAAATCAGCTTTAGAGATAAGCCGTAAGTATTGCATTTGACCTTAAAAAGGTACTTCAGTAATTCAGTCACAGGTATTCTCACTGCTCTGAAAGTTGAGGAGCTATGCTATACTAATTTCTTTCTCCTCTTCTCATCAGCTCTGTCCTGATGGTATTTCTAAGCTCATCTGAAGGATGTTGAAGACACTATCTCACACAAAAATCTTGAAAGGCTTCAGGGTCTGCTTTCCCAGTAAGAAGATAACACATGACTAGCATCCAGGAAGTGAGTGGTAAGTTATGATGAAATACAAGTCAATGCTGAAGTGAGTATAAAACATTCTTGCCAAACTCTGAAGCATGAATTAGCACCAAATTATTGCTTCTCATTAATAGATCTGATTTACTGGCTTTAATTTTGCCAGATGCAGCTGAATCACCTCTGTTTTCTTACTGAACTTCTGTTTGTTGTCTTAGTACTACACTTAGTAGTGTCTCATGAAAACTATCTGCCTCTTCCAATCTTTTTCTACAAAAATAAACTAATTTTGTTCATTAATTTCTAATTTTCAATAGAACATTTTTGGCTAACGTATTTACCTTCTTACTCTCTCTAAATAACAATGTAATATTAATCAGTAACTTTCTAACGAAACCTTTTAGTCTTTGAATGACAGTCATATTTAATTTTATTTTAGGATTTTTTCTTCAACAACTCACCAAATTCCTGAGAAAGAGAAATTATTTTTCCTGAAGTTGTTAAAGCTGACATGAGCAGAAAGGAAGGTGATTTTTTTTAGCCCTACAAATCTACCTAGTATTTGAAATGCTGAAGAGGAAATTACGGTTTTGCCACAACTTACGCTTCAGGCTTTTCTTGGGTTTAACTCTAATTGTAGTAATCATTTCAGTTTTGAAAGTCAACCAGAAACAAGACTTCTTAAATCAGAGACATCTTGAGCTGACACAAGAAGATCCTGTTGGCAATGTTAACTGCACCAAGATTATAGAGGGGGATATAGAAGAAATTCAAAAGGTAAAGCTTGAGATGTTGTCAGTGTCATTTAAGAAACGCCCCAGAGTAACAACGAATGATTATATTAACATGACAGCAGACTGTGCCTCCTTCACCAAGACTAGGAAATACATTATGGAACCTCTCAGCAATGAAGAAGCAGAATTTCCAATAGCTTACTCAATAGTGGTTTATCACAAAATTGAGATGCTTGACAGACTTCTAAGGTCAATCTATGCCCCTCAGAATTTTTATTGCATTCATGTTGACAAAAAGTCTCCAGAATCTTTTTTTGCTGCTGTGAGGGGAATAGTCTCATGTTTTGATAATGTCTTTATTTCTAGTCAGTTAGAGAGTGTTGTATATGCTTCATGGAGTAGAGTGCAGGCAGACATTAACTGCATGAAAGACCTCTACAGAAGAAGTTCAAACTGGAAATACCTAATAAACCTCTGTGGCATGGACTTTCCAATAAAGACCAACCAGGAAATAGTAGAGAAATTAAAAGCCCTTAAAGGTGAAAACAGCTTGGAAACAGAAAAAATGCCTGTTTATAAAGAAGTAAGGTGGAAAAAACACCATGAGATTATTGATGGTAAAATAAAGAACACAGGCATAGACAAACAACTACCGCCTCTCAATACTCCAGTTTTTTCTGGTAGTGCCTATTTTGTAGTTAGCAGAAAATTTGTTGAATACGTATTAGAAAGCAGCAAAATACTTAAGTTCATTGAATGGGCAAAAGACACTTACAGCCCAGATGAGTACTTGTGGGCAACAATTCAGAGAATCCCTGAAGTCCCAGGTGCAGTTTCTTCTAGTGACAAATATGATGTTTCTGACATGAATGCATTGGCCCGATTTGTCAAGTGGCAGTACTTTGAAGGGGATGTGTCCAAAGGTGCACCCTACCCACCATGCAGTGGAGTTCATGTTCGCTCTGTCTGTGTTTTTGGGGTAGGAGACCTAAACTGGATGTTACGAAACCACCACTTCTTTGCTAATAAGTTTGACACTGATGTTGACCCTTTTGCAGTGAAATGTTTGGAAGAGTATTTGCGACACAAAGCTTTATATCTGCAGAAGAACTGAAATACTGCATGCTCCTGTGACAAAACACAGGTACAAATAGTATACAGCTATGTACTTTTAACATGTAATGCCAACGGTAGTGATGCTGATCATGGGTATAATGGTTCTCACCATGTCAATATGGTGGTGATGACACCTTCCCTGACTTGTTCATAGACAAGGGGGACAAAAGACATCAAGATGGGGATGACTTGTGTTGCACACTGATGTTTAAAACTTCAGGTATAAAATAGGAGATAGCAATTTTTGAAAGGTCAACTACTTGGAATATTTATTACCTAAAAGATGTAGTTAATGGGCTTCCTTTGGCTAAACTATTTGTTTCAAGGCTTGGAAAATGCATGTTGCTCATGAGTATTTGTCAGGGTTTTTTTTTGAATGAATATAATGCTAGTTGAAAGGGAAATACGAAGAGGCAGGAATTAAGGGGGGAAAAAGCAGCTGGACTGCACAGGCTTCGTAGTGAGTGCTGAAAGATCTCAGGAAAATAACACTATAATTAATCTGAAAACTATATAAAAGGGAATATACCAAAGCCAGCTGTTTTCATTTAAGTTAAATCTGATTGCTGTAATTCTGTAATATGTAATTCTTAATCCTCCTGAATATTTCAACTTCAGCATGGAGTATTAAGGACTTGTGTTCAAATTTTTGTAGTCAAATCTTGCTTTTGTACTCTTAAACCCCACAATAATGTGATATAAAGTTTATACGCTAGTTTGTAACTACATCTTCTCAGGGAAACTTAAGTTTTGTGCCTGATGAGAGTTAGACTTGGAATTTTACACTTTTCACTGTATCAGGAATCTTGCCTTTGAATCCAAAATGACTCGAGTTTCTCAAAAACTTTAAAGAACTTCAGCAATGTCTTAAGTGTCACTGGTGGAACTGCTGGTTTCTTCTGTCAAGCTCAACTTGTATTCCAGGTTATTTTAACAGTGAGTATGCAAAAATAAAGTTATTTTTCTCAACAATATTGCATCTTCCTATAAGTAAAGTTCTTCTAGAGGCACCACCATAATCCTAATGATTAGGACCTGAAATGTTTTGCCATACACAACTTGAAGCTGCAACTGAGACAAGTCCTATCTTTCTTTCATATGTTCATTCATTCATCTGTCTGTGCTTGTTTAGGTTTAGCTGATGCAGCTGACTTTTATTTGCTTCTTTTGGTGGAATGGAAAGGAGGAAATCTGGATGAGTTGTATTACAGGTTAGGTCCCTGCTTAGTTTAGCTGCTGCAATTTACCACAGAAACATGGTGCTGGGAGAACAGGAACACTGTAAGGGACGATATTATTTCTTTTGATGGCAATTCAGGTTTGTCATGTACAGTTACTGCCAGCTCTCTCTTACTTCTGAGGTGAATGGAATTCATTACAGGTACTAGCAAATGCAAAAACAGACCAAATTTTTTGTTTCTTGCTGTGATGGCAGCATGTGTTTATTACAAAGGTAGTTTGTAATGAAGTTTCTCCTAAGGTGTGCTCCGGCAAAACCATAATGAACTGCTTACTGTTGATCATGCAAATAAGCTAGGAAGGCAAGCAATTTAAGATTAAATGGGGCCTTTTCTTCATAACTCCCGCTTTCAAAACCACGCCCACTTTCTTGATAACTCCCACTTTCAAAGTTGTTTAGGGAGTCTTCAGAGACTCTCACATGATGTATAAACAGGCAATTAAAGCTTGTGTGTTGGGGCTGGCGGGGGGGGGGGGGGGGGGGGGATACTCTGTCTTACTCACCCTTTGGCTTTTCTACAAAAATGCTCTTACAGACAGTTATGCACTACCACCTTTGGATAAGATGCAGCAAGATGTAACTTCACTGCACATAGTACTTGGAAATTACTATTTCAAATTGTTATCATACCTTACCATTAGGGATGTCCCTGCTTAGAAGCAATTTACAGAAGCAGATGCAAGCTGTCTACAGGTTCGAATTCTAATATACTGCTTATCATGCCTCACCAGAAGAGCAGGTTCCCACCCCCAAAGGGCTCCCTTGCTAAGCAAGCAGAAGAGCAGTTCTCCACCCACAGAGGGGCCCCCTGTTGAGCTAGCAGTCACGTTTAGGTGCTAAGTCATAGTCATACTAAAAAGCAAAGTTATTTCAACTAAGGCCTAATGGCTTGGTCTCAACTACATCAACCCTTCAACCATTAATTCTGAATATAGTGGTGCTCTAATACCAGAAAACTGCAGGTTTACTCTGATCACCTTCAGGTTTCCTCAGGGCAGAAGACAGCACACAGACCTTCACGAGGATTGAACTTGGAAGCTGGACAAAGAATAGAGCAATTAAAACTAGAGTCAGGATGGTGGGTTCAGCTGCAGTGCTGCTCAGGGCACTCAGAGGACCAGCTTTTTGCTTTTTTCACTTCCTGTTTCATGAACCCAGCTTACACCAGCCCTTGCACTGTGACCTTATCAGCCTTTGGGTAGGCAGGAAGGAAACTGGTTTGCATTTTGCCTGCTGAATAACCTTTTATTTTTTCTCCTTTATTTCAAAACTGGTTCAGTTTCTCAGTTCAGTTCACCATTTCTGGGAAGGAAAGATTAGCCTGTGAAACCATTGCTAAAGTAGCGTGTATGCTGGTCAAAATCCCCCAGCTTGTCTTTTTAATTTTCCATAGCAGAATTTTTCAAAAGAGCTCAGTGCATTGGATACACTTCTATAGTTCAGCCCCTACTTTCACATCAGCCTTTTGAGTGCCCCTAATACAATAACAATTTGTTTGTTTTACTGATAATAATTGTGGTAACCAAGTATCCTGTATCACTGAGAGCCAGTGAAAGGCTGAAAGCCTTTAGGTTCAAAAGCTGATTTGATCCCAGAAACAACACTTGTGCTTTCACCTCCTTCCTGCTTTAGGTTTGATTTGACAGGAAGCATGTGTTTGGCTAAACAGTTTGTTTTCTCACTGCTTCCTATCTAGCACAACAGAAAATGACAAGAAACCTTGAAGGTGAACACTGGAGATATAATTAAGGTTTCCAATCAGATCATCATTACTTGGTACATTTCCAAGTGGCTTGACAATAAAAAATTGGCCTGAGTTATAATACAAATGCCTTAGAAGATAAAAATGAAAGAAGAGGCCATCTGCTCCAACATACTTGTACTGTGCTGATAATTCTTTCTTCCAGATTCACTGTTACTGCTAGCTCTGAATGGCTGTGGCAGTCATTAAAAAAAATACCTGTGATTTCATTCAAGTTCTGTTGCAATATTTCACTGGTTTAATTTATAGCTTCTTTTACTGTTGAAAATCTTTGTTGGCTTTTTCCTTTTTATTTTTTTTATTTTTGTTACTTAAAGAATATATCAAAGAGAAAATATTACAGTGGACACTTCTTAAGTCAATTAAAACATAGGAAATTGCATTATGTAAAATGGCTTCCCAATTCCAGTTAGCAATACCATGTGTCCTCAGCTTAAAATTTCAATAATCTAGTAGACCAGTTTCCATAGTTTTTGAATTCTCTTCTTTCCAATAGATAATTTCCTTAATTGTGCTTTTAATGCCCTAGACTACAGTGTGGTAAATTAAAACTAACCTGCTTTAAACAGGCAAGGAGCCTTCTGGGTGCCTTAGACAGCAGAATTTAAAAGCCAATACCCTTTAGGTACAGTTTTCAAGAATCTCCACGAATCCAACTTTTCAAGTTGTTTTCCTCATACGTATCCTAAACTTTTCTATTTTATAATTGAAATCAGCCATTTTTTTTTAATTTTTACATACAGTTTAGGGGTTTGTTTCTTTTTTTCTTTCTTTTTTTTTTTCCCTCTTGTGCATCAGTCACTAACCTTACACAGATAGTTTGCATTTGCATTATGTTTACTCTTATTTGCTTTGCCATATGTTATAGCATCTTCAGACAGAACTGTTTTGCTCAGTGGCCTCAGGAGAGCTGGGCTTGTTCAGCCTGGAGAAGGGAAGGCTCAAGGGAGACCTTATAAAAGTCTTCCAATACCTAAAGAGGGCTACAAGAAATCTGGAGAAGGACTACTTACAATGGCCTGTAGTGATAGGACAACTGGGAATGGCTTTAAACTGAAAGAGGGGAGATTTAGATAAGATATTAGGAAAAAAATCTTCACTATGAGTGTAGTGAGCCACTGGAATAGGTTGCTTTTGTGTTTTAAACCCAGCTGGTAACTCAATACAATGCTGCCGTTTGCTCACTCTCTTCATTCCCCCCTCCTTGGGTGGGATGGGGAAGAGAACTGAAACAAGGTAAATTCCATGGGTTGAGATAAGAACAGTTTAATAACTGAAGTACGATATACTCCTACTACTAATCATAGTAATAATGATAAGGGAAATAACAAGGGGAGAGAACATAAAACTAAAAAGGCAAAGGAAAAATAATCAATAAACACAAGTGATGCACGATACAATTGTTCACCACTCACCAACTGATACCCAGCGTGACCTAAAGAGCGATCTGGGCCTTCTGGGTGACTCCCCTCAGTTTATATACTGGGCATGACATGCTGTGGTACGGAATACACCTTTGGGTAGTTTGGCACAGGTGACCTGTCTCTGCTTCCTCCTGGCCTCTTGTGTCCCTCCTCACTAGAAGAGCTTGAGAGCGAAAAGTCCTTGCCCCGGGTAAGCACTACAGAGCAACAACTAAAACATCAGTGTGTAATCAGCATTGTTCTCAGACTAAAGCCAAAACACAGCACTGCACCAGCTACTAGGAAAAGAAAGAAACAAAAAACCAAAACAAAACAAGTAAAACCAAAACCAAAAAAAAAAAACAAACCAAAATACCTGTTACAGTTGAAACCAGGGCAGTTGCCCAGAGAGAAGCTGTGGCTGCCACATCTTTGGCAGTGTTCAAGGCCAGGTTGGACTGGGCTTGGAACAACCTTGTCTAGTAGAAGGTATTCCTGCCCATGGCAGGGAATTGGAAATGGATGATCTTCAAGGTCCCTTTCAACCTAAGCCATTCTATGATTCTATGATTTAATTTCTGTGACTCTAAAACTGAACTTTGCTCTTGGAGCCTTACACATGGTTGGGTTCTTCTAAGATCTGACAGTATTCTTTTTAATTTCATCGTCTTCTGTAGCTATAGTAGAGCTTGACAAGAAAAAGTTAAGAATGCAAATATCACATCCTCAAATGAAGCCATAAACTAATCCATGTGTGTGATACAATAGTGGGATGGTAGGAGATGGGTCCTACTCTTTCTTGGAGTGCAATCAGAAGGAAAATTAGTCTGCCCTTGTACGTGTCCCTCTTTGGACACAAAAATGAGTCAGCACAATCAGATCAATCTTCTCCTACATGCTGCTCTAAGAAGATATTTAGCTTTTTGTCCAGCTAAAGACTGTTGTAAAGATAGCGATGATGATGAACTGTAGAAAAGCAAATCTGTTTTATGTTATTATTTTCAGATGAGCTCCT